CATGTCTGATGTGTCCATAAGCTTAGGGATTATACAATACAAATGGCATCTTTCTAAGAGTAGGGCAAATTTTTATATTTCTTTCTTCCCTCCAACACATGGTATCACATCGTATCGAACTTCTCCTTCTGTGGTCTCAATTATTCCTGATCAATGCTATCCACAATATTGTTTCTGCTTCATTTATTCTTATCCGCTTCCTATTTCCACTCATTCATGTTTTCTTAAAGTAGCTTAGGAATTTGCTCTTTGGCGATGAAGTGAATAAATCAACCTTAATCTGGCATGTAAATGGATATCTGATCACATCCAATGACTTCATTTGAGAGCTCGCAACAACTATTTCTGCTTCATTGATTCAAAGAAATTTTAGTCCTTTGAAGCATTCTAATGTGGTTTTTATAAAATACAAAAAAAAAAAGTAGCCATAAAACATTATGCCTCTCTGGAGAGAATAAGAGATCAAAATTTCTGTTAAAAAAAAGTGATTTAAGCCCCAAACTCTCCTGCCTGTTCAAAAAGGAAATCCACAAAATAGGCATTTATCACCAGAAGAAAAGATTATTCCAATTTCTTTTGGTGGTGAAACTCTGACCCTAAAGCCATGCAGTGATAAATAGATAGCCTATTTCTGTCCCTTTTATCCACAGATTTCAAAGTGCAAGTCAGAGGAAGGTGACATTTTGGGTCTTATCTAAGTTAGGACGGAGGGAGAACAAAAGCCAGAAGATTTGAGTGCCTTGTTCATTGTTAGGCATAAAGGCAGAGATGAAAGAGTACTTGGTCTGACTCATTCTGGGCTTTTCTTGTAAAATAGCCAAATCAGCCTCTGGGCCTGATGGGAGTCACCCAGGCTTCAGTGAGGGTGGGCATGATTTCTGTGGTGTTATGGATGGAATCTAAGGCCAAGATTTGGCTCCATATCACTCGAAACAAACATTTAATGAGTAGAAAGTTCAACTTCCTCAGAAGAAATCCAAGTCAGCTTTTTACTTCATTGTCCTGTCGTTTGCTAGAGTTTTTGAGAGAACACAGATGTCTGCATAAAGATGATGACAGGTATTATCAAACTTCTACTGAGGACACTGTGTCTATGTTTTCCTCAAAGCACCTGGGTACTTCATGCTGTGGAAAATGGCTCTTTCTTGTCAAGGTCAATAATGTAAGGAGAGTCATGCAGAGAAGATTCCTGTGTGTATAAAAGGCTTGGGAAATGGTCTTCACCATCGCCAAAGCCAATGTCTAACCTTAATAAATGCAGCAGGCAACATCCAGTGTTCTCACGCTTTCCCAGGGATGCCTACAGCACAGGCAAACTTCCCTGTGGTCCCCAGGAAGCTTCCGGCGACTCTAAGGACTTCATCACACTCCATTTATAAATGTTGACAGTTTTCTAGGAAAATGGGGGACTTTCCCTGGAAAAGATTTTACCCAGCAGTGACCAGCTGCCCTACCTCAGTAGAAAATAGTGGATAGTTGGGCAAAAAGCTGCTGAAACCCTCGGAAAATGATGACTGAACGTCAACACTGCAATGCACACATGCAGGGTAGAAAAGAAAAAAAGATAGTCATCTCTTTAATGAGGACCACCAGCTCACTGACCCTGATTTTGGATGACTCTGCACCAAGTCTGCAAAATGGAGCAAAATCCGAGTTGGTTCTAAGAGGCAGGCACTTGTTCTTGGAAATATTGAGGCTTTCTTCATATTCAGAACTTTCATTTTAATCCAAATGAGCTTATTCCTAGCGGAAAAAGGACAGGGATACTACTTTGTCTATTTTAGAGAAGAGAAAGGTCGGGGCGCCTGGGTAGCTCAGCTGGTTGAGGATCCTCTTGGTTTTGGCTTAGGTCATGATCTCAGGGTTGTGAGATCGAGCCCCATGTTGGGCTCCATGCTTGGCACAGAGTCTGCTTGGGATTCTCTCTCTCTCTCTCTCTCCCCCATCCCTCTCCCTGCTTGTGCACGTGCTTTCTCTCTCTCTCTAAAATAAATAAATCATTTTTTGAAAGTCAGAGAAAGGTCTATTTAAGATATGGCACCCAGGAAGAGCCAGAACTGGCATGATTCTATAGGTTTAGGGAAATACACCTTGGAGAGAGGAACCCCTCATTTTAACTAAGACACACCACAAATGGATGATAACAGTATTATAGGCTTAATAATGTTGACATAAGGGTCTCTTCCAGAAAAATGACATTTTAACCTCTTGTTTAAAATTCCAGCCCTTTATTTCCTCAGAAATTGTTCTCTTGTCTCTGGATTAGAAAAGTTTGCTGCACATGCAATTCTTTGTCCCCCCGAATCCCAGATTCCTGAGGATTTATATCACAGGACTCTTAGAAGTACACATCCTGATCACCAAATGGAGTTGAGCTGAAAGTCCGTTTACTGTGTTCTGAGTTTCTCCTTTTCACTTAAAAAGAATACTAAGATGTTACTATCAGAGAAGCAATATAGTCTGGAAGGTGAGAGGTCCTTGAGTAGACAAAGATCTGCATTTAAGCTCTGTCCATCTTGAGCAAGTTCAGAACTTCTTAGCACCCAGGTATTATATTTTTGTAAAACAGGGTAATGGCATCAGCTACCTAGGGAGCTGACATCAATCAATAACACTTAAAATACATTTTTTACTGACCATATACAATGCAAAACGCTTTCTAAGCTTTTTAAATGATCATCTCATTTAATGGTCACAATGTCTCCTTGAGTTGGGTACCATTATCTTCATTTTATACAGATGAGGGAAGCGAGGCTTTGAGGCATCACACTCATGCTTAAGCCAGAATTCAAACACAGGCCCCCTGACTTTAGGGGGGAGCTATGGACTACTACATTAACAATGTAAGTGAACTGATAAATATAATATGCTTAGCACAGTGACTGACATGTAATAGAGGTTCACTAGAAGTTTTGATACAATTAACGTTAATTCATGTTTATCAGCAGCTAAACTCTTTGAGGGCAGGCACCGAGACTCACTTATTTTTGTAGCCTCAGATTCTAGTACAGAATGCAAACGTGCTCTGTGAAGACTTGTTAGGTGAAGAATGAACACAGATTCCACTTGGAATCATCCGCACTACAGAGAAGAGCAGACTGAAGCCACTTTCAGCTGGTCTAAGCAAAAACATATCTAGAATAGACACTGAACCCCCTTTGCCCTTCATATTCCCTATTATTGGCAAGGTCTCATAAGCTGGTATCTCACAGCAATATAGAATACAAAGAATTTGTGTTGTGTTTTTGTCCTTAACAAATAGTATTTATCAAGAAATAACCTCCTTCCCAAATGGTAGTGAAGACCCATGAAGAAAATTAAGGACTGCCCTCTCTCCTTAACCAAGTCAAAACAAGAAGCTGTAAAGACTTGGAAAAACTGTTAGGGACTTGGTTTAGGGGTAATCAAAGGTTATGAAATTGATTCCTAAATATTTGTGTTTTTAAATTTCTAACTCAATATCAATTAATAAAATTAAAATCTATTGATATTTAAATTAATTTAAAAATAAAATTTAAAGTTAATTAAAATTCCTACCCAAAGGATACAAAAATGCAGATTCAAAGGGGCACATGCACCCTGATGTTTATAGCAGCATCACCAACAATAGCCAAACTATAGAAACAGCCCAAACGTCCACCGACTGACAAATGGATAAAGATGTGGTGTGTACATACACACATACACACACACATACACACACACACACACACACACAGGAATAGTACTCAGCCAGCAACAAGAATGAAATTTTGCCATTTGCAATGACATGCATGGAGCTACAGAGGATTATGCTAAGTGAAATAGGCCAGTCAAAGAAAGACAAAAACTATATGATTTCACTCATATGTGGAATTTAGGAAATAAAAGAGATGAACATAGGGAAAGGGGGGGGAAAAGAGAGAGGGAAGCAAACTATAAGAGACTCTTTTTTTTTTTTTTTGCCACAAGAGACTCTTAATGACAGAGAACAAACTGAGGGTTGCTGGAGGGGAAGTGGGTGGGGGATGGGCTAAATGGGTGACGGGCATTAAAGAGGCCACTTCTTGTGATGAGCCCTGGGTGTTACATGTAAGTGATGAATCACTGAATTCTATTCTTGAAACCAATATTACACTATATGTTAACTAACTAGAATTTAAATAAAAATTTGAAACAAAAATAAAATTCAAAAAATAAATAAAATTCCTAACTCAATAAATAAAAATAATGATTTCCTTATAATATTTTGGTTTAGGATACTGCCTTTTACAAAAGTTCATTCTTATATAACTTTCATGATACTACTTAATTTTAGGAAGTTTACTAAAAATGAGAAAGCCTGGGTTCAAAAAAGCTTCATATCTTGCTCAAGGTTACACAATGGATTAAAGGCAGAACCACTTAGGGGACTTTTCCAGGCATCTGAAAAGAAATGTGGACTTGAAACGCTGACAAGAGAACAGACAAGCTTCAGCAGAGTTCAAATATTCAGAGATAAGTGGCATTATGTAATCACACATGGCTGAAGACCCTTTATAATTTTTAACCATTTTTTTCTCAAGGACAAATTTTCTTGAGATTGTACCTATTTTTAAATTAAAAGAACAAAGAAAGGAAGAGAGAAGGAAGAAGATAGAAGTTAATTACACTCGTGTTACTTAACAAGTAATAATTTTACGCAAATCAAATATTTCTAGAAAATTACTACAATTACGTTTAATGAAACACAGATATTGGGGTAAATGATTGCCTCTGGAATCCTGAATATACTCAAGTCAGTACTTCCCATTTAGCTGTCAAGCTCCCAGCTGGAGGTAAGCCGCTGTGAGCCGGAGTGAACAGGTGCAAGCGTGAGCTCGCCCAGACCTCCCTGCGGCTGTTGTGAAAGCGGAGGTAATCCACGCCTCAGCAACACGAGGACCTAATTGTGACACACGCAAAGGACCGTCCCTCTAGAACTATCCATGTTGGTGACGGAAGGCACGTCTCGTAAAGAGGAAATCACGAGCAATAATTACCTAGGCATGTAAAGGACTCTCTCGGCCACCACAAAACCCACCCTGAAGAAGAGATTGCTGGCTGGAATGAACGGGAAAACCAGGAACAACAAGCCCACTAACACTTCCTTGTGCTCCAGTCTCTGAAACACACAATAGTGAAGGACAAATTAATTTTTTAAACATTTCACTTCAGTCGGCATTTAACCATCTCTTTCATTCTCAAGTTCTCATTGACGGAATGAATAAATGAGACCAATGCAAACCCTTTGATTAGTGTGCTGAATTCATCAGAGAAAGCCCTCGGGCTGAAAGATCTCTGGCAAGGCACACGTTTGCCACCCAGAAACCTCTGATAATTGCACAGGATCAGTGACCATTACTCCTTATTCTGGGCCAGGCCTACAGCAACCCTACTTTTTGGTTCTGGTCCCTTTCAGAATCTCTCTTCCCCCCCCCACCCCAAGGCAACTGGTTTCCAGGGAGCAAAGCAGCTTAATAGAATCAAGCTCACTAAGGCATCATGGAGAATTATTATCCTCTCAGAAACAGAATGCATTAAAAAAAAAAAAACCCACAACAAACCTACACAAAGCTCACCAGAAGCTTAGCATAAAGCTTGGCATAAAGGAAATTAAATGCAAATGGTAAAATTCAGGGAACCAATGAGAGAGATCATTAAAGCTGAGAAATTTTTAGCTCAAATTAAGTCAGTAATTTTTTCATGAAATTTTTTGGCATCAAAAATCATTACCATAATTTGTTAAATTGACAAAGCACCTTTCTCTAATATTATGTATTATTGTAGATATTAATTTGTCAAGATTTTTCTGTCACTTCTAATTAGCAGAAAAAATTATTTATTACTAATAATTTGTTATAATGGACACTGTAAAAGTTAATTTGTATTTCCATGACTGTCTATGATATGAACACATCTGAAGACAGGCCTATTTAAAACAAACCTTAATGTATGATGACATTATTTTTTCTCTTTAAAACAGTTTAAGAAAACCTAATAGAACTTTGTGTATTACATTTATAAATATTTCTTACAAACACTTAAAGGTGTATTACTTTTAATAATTGTAGAAGACTAGATACAAGAGTTTTAAATATAAATAAAACTTCCTAATACAAACTACTAATGCTTTAAGTGGACAACGTAAAAGATTTTTAACATCTTGAGAAATTTGTCACCTGGATTTTATTTATTTATATTTTTAAAAAGATTTTACTTATTCATTTGACAGAGAGAGAGAGAGAGCACAAGCAGGCAGAGTGGCAAGCAGAGGAAGAGGCAGAAGCAGGCTCCCCGATGCGGAGATCGATCGCAGGACCCTGGGATCATGACCTGAGTCAAAGGCAGACGCTTAAGGACTGAGCCACACAGGCGCCCCATCACCTGGATTTTATTAAGATCTTTGTTTTGCTGATTATAACATATAGAGTAATAAAATTTTGGAGAGCAATTCCATATGAATAAATGTGATTTGGACAATTTCCCCTAAATAATTAATGGTTCTGTAAGTTATGATCTCATTTTTTTTAACCTAAAGGAACCATACTCTTTAGAATTAAAAGATGAAAGGGAAAAAAAGGCTTTCATAACAAGCCTTCAACTGAAATGGATGCAATAGGGCTGATGTTATATTTTCTCTGGCCCAATAAAATTGAGAAAAAAAAATAGGTGAGAAAAGTAGCAAGTCATATTTAAAAGCTGCAACCTATTTTTTAATTTAGATTATACTTTGAATTTACAAAGTACATTTCATCTCAAGAACTTAAAGTTTACATAATTTAAAGAAGAATAACACCTTCATAAGAATCCTGTGAATCAAGAGCAAGTATTTCTTTGCTAAAATTGAAAACGAGTTCCAGAGAGTAAGTGCCTTGTCCAGTGTGAGTCATGGACTCTCGGCCTACTATTGATTGGTGTTCTACTTCTATCGATGCACTTTTATTTTTTAGCTATAGTTGACTATTTCTTTCAAGCCTGTCAAAAGGTGAAATACTTTTTACAAAAGAATTCGCATATTGTCCCATAGAAGTTTCTGAAGAGAATTTAATATGCTCTATTTATTAATCCTATAGAATTGAAAAGAAGAGTGTAAACAGAACTCCAAACAGGCTGTTAGTCATGTCCTGGGTAGTGTTACATATAGTGAGCCACCTCCCAGGCCGTCCTCAGGTTAGGAGACAACAGTGCCCACTGGGAAGCTGAAGGAGACATCACTTCCACACCTGCAATCTCACACCTTTTTTCCTGGACAAAGGCTGCCTTCCTCACTCTGGTGGGCATGTGTTTATGTCCTTTACTCAGCAGAATCCCCAGTGCTTTCAGGAGCCCCTAGGTTGGGAGGAGGCAGGTGTCGGGTGACCTGCAGGCACCCATCTCCGTGCCTGCCCGCCTCCCCCTCCCTCTCCCAACCCTGCAGGGGGCAGGTCCCCCGCGGAGCTCACCGCTGCTGGGGACAGGGAAGATGAGGGTGAGAGTCAAGGAGCCCCCAGCCTCCTCCAGAGGACCAACGTGCAAACTGAAAACTCACAACACCGTGTGTTCCTTGTTCCTCCAACAGGTTCTTCTTTATTTCCCTCATGAATCATTCCAGTTGTAATCACACATTTACCTGTGTGTTTCCGGTCTTTATAAAATGTCTCCCCCAGGAGACCAGGAGACAGGAGGGCAGGGAGCTGGGCAGCTGTGTTCGCTGGTGCATGGTCTGTGCTTAGCTCAGTGCCTGGCACTTAATGGGTGCTCGGAAATATTTGTTGAATAAATCAGTGAATGAATAAATGGACTGGGCAAGAGAGAAAACTGGATGCAAGAAGGGGAGAAGTTAAGAAGGACATCCTGGTGGAGGTGATGATCTGAGTTTGAAAAAATGAACGAATGCTTAGGAGGCAGACAAATTTGGTTGTGGCTGGGATAGGAGGGCAGGTCCCTGGCAGAGGGGCTGATCCTACGGGGAGCTTTTTTCTCAATTCAATTGAAGACAGCAGCACAGCACCCAAACTCAATTAAGTTTTCCTATTTTATTTTGTCTTGAGAAAAATAATATTCATGACAAATTCTTTATTCTCAAATTAAATTGATGATCATACCCTTTGTCTTCCCTCCTCCCCATTCAGTCAAGAGAAGGAGAAACTATTCAGAAATGTATTTCTTTAAATGGCAAGTCAATCAACCAAGCAGAAAGTTGTAAAGTTAGGGGAAAATGTCATGGATATGGCTGAATTTTCCTTTTTTTTTTTTTGGCTGAATTTTCTAGAATGAGAAAGAGTGGCAGGGAATCCAGTTTTGCATGTTGTGGATCACAGATGTGACAGAATTGGCTAAATAATTTAAAGCTTGTTTCGGCCTAATAGAAACTCAAACAAAATATGGGGGGGGGGAGAGAATTTGTGACTTTCCAAAGTACACAGAGTGCATTCAATTTCTAGGAATAGAGGCAAATGGATATTTACTTATTCAAATTACAGTAGGGGGTAAAAAAGACATGAGAATTAAAAGAGCTAATCATACAGCTATTAATAATATGCATTATTTGATTAACCTGCAACTTCAGAGTTAATTTATTTCTTTGAGCTTTAACCTGATGATCAGTAAATCCAAGGAAAGGGTATTGATACCTACTGTGTCTGTAAGGAAAAATAGATAGATTCAGTATGACAGATGGTAGGTTTGATTCTTTTCTGGCTCCGGACGAGGTAGAGAAGCATGCCCCTGAGCTGCAAAGAGATCAAGAGCTCTTAACACCTGCCCAGAGAGCGGCTCTGCCTCCACACCACCTATCTGACCGAGCAGCTAAGGAAGAGAAAAGAAGCGGTTTTCTCAGGACCATTAGTGACCTCAAAGGAAATGTCACTCCAGAATCCAAGTCCAGCCCAGCAGCTTCTGGTTTATTTCTTCCCCTTCTCACTCTCAGTTCACTTTTCAAAGCACAGGTCACGGACAAGGGGACACACACACACACACACACACAAACACATGCACTGTGGCCAGCAGGGTGTGGGTGTGTGTCCAGGAGAAGAGGACCCCTCCTTGGCCCATTCAAAACAGACGACATCCACTGCTGACCATTCCCTTCCAGAAAGGCAGAGAATGGACCTCATTATAGTAATATATTTAAGATTATTTTTTTACTTTTAAATTTTTTCTACACCCAACGTGGGGCTCGAACTCACAACCCCGAGATCAAGAGTCCCATGCTCTACCAACTGAGCCAGCCAGGTGCCCCCTCGTTACAGTGATTATCATTATTATCCTATTTTCTCCCACCTCTACAGTTTTCAGGAAAATGGCATGTAGGGTGCGAGTATGTTCTCGGAGTTCTACATATACCACAGTTATATTTCAAGCCTAAAGATTTATTTGGCAGCGCTGGGCTCTCGCTGTCTGTGTCCAATTTATCAATCTTTGGAGAAGCAGATGACAGTCGAGCTCCCCTCTTCAGCCCCAGGAGTCAGGCGTTTGCCAAGCTGACAACGGGCATGGCTGCCAATGCATATTTGGCCCCCCTTTTTCTTTCTGTTTAGGGGTCTACTTCCATTAGACTAGGAATTCCTTGATGGGAGTCACCATCTCATTTAAATTTGTTACCTAGATACCTGGCGCAAGCAGAATTGGCATGCGACTTGTATGTGTTGCAATAGTAAAGCTCAGCGATAAAAGCGGCACACGCATCACTAGAGTTCTCGAGCGGAGCCTTTTCAGGGACTCCCTGCCAAGGAAATCTTTTACTTTTGGTAACCCTCTGAAAGACGGTATTTGCAACATTAACTTGGGGTGAACAGTCCTCAGGCTGCAGATGCATCCAAGAGCATCCTGTAAGGGTTTGGCAAGACTGACCAACGGTCCTAAGGTATTTTCATGAGGACATACACATGCCTTCTGCCCTGCTCTGATTCCATTCACTGCTACTTATGACTACTTCCTTTGCCTGGTCCTGTGGCTTGTGTCATCAGGAAAAGTTACATCTTTCACTTCATTGACATTCAGTTTTAATTTTTAAAATACTTTAACTTATTAAAATATCTAATCGTATTCCTATTATTGTCACTGTGAAAGTTATTTTTAATTGAAGATGACAAGTTATTTGATCAATTGGAATCCCTTGTGACTACAAGTACTGCCTCATCT